AAATGTGTTTTCTCTTTATTATGGCAGGTGGTCTAATAAATTAAGCACTGTATGTTTAGCATTAAGTTGGCACATTTGTTTGAAGGACATTGGGCAGAATGTGGGATAGTGTGTTTTTTTGTCAATTAAAAAACTTTTTTTTTTTAAATTCCAATTAATCGGGAAAAAAATAATCAACCAACTAATCGATTATCAAAATAATCGCTAGTTGCAGCCCTAGGTTTAACGTTATGAGCGATTTCTGTGATAGTTAGATACGTATGGATGCATATTAGTCATTTTAACTCAACTGACTGGTGGTGGTGGTGCTTTTTGGTCATTCAGTGTTTCTGTAAAAAAAATTGGGAAAAAACTAACAAATACTGATAAGATAATGATACAAATTCTACTAATAAGGATTTCAATTTAAAGCGCACTAAGGATTAATGAGCTGCTGGATTCATGGATATTAATCAGGTTGTGTGTGTTCGCTCGAACTGATTTGCTGAAATCAAAACGGGGACGATAATAGGCGAGCGCTAATGTAGAGGGTTGGATATGTTGGTGCATATATTTAGCAAAATGCCCCTCTCTACAGTTTATTTTTCTATATGACTAATGAGTTTGTTCACCAAATATGTTTTTTCTGAGGTAAATGTGACGTTACGTGACATGTTTACAAGCCGTTATATTGACGTCTTTGCACGGCTGAATCTCTGTTTGAGCGAGAAAACACAAAGCTTATTGCAATTTATTGGATGGGAGGTGCGCTATCTATGTTACGTCCATTAACTGAAAACAGGCTAGACTAATCGATTCTTGGGATTTAAGAATTTATATCATTCTGTAAAAATGAGAATAGAGTAGAATCGAGAGATCGATATTTTTTACCCAGCCCTAACGGTCTACCTACAAAAGTCATCGTGCATCCTTGTGTTTGCAGTGTTTTCTTGATCCAAATGGTTAATAGAATAGTTCACCCAAAAATAAGTTATTTACTTGCTCTCAAGTAGTTCCAAACCTGTACAAGTTTCTTTCTTCTGTCAACATTTTAATTTTTATTTAACTATCATTTTAAGTTTGATGGCAGTTCAAAGAAAACTGTCATGAAATGTGATAATTACTAGTTCATTTTCACCATCCACTTTGTAATTCAGTTCTAATCCTGAATGCTCATCAGTTCATAGTGTTCCCATAATGCTAATACTTTATATAGGACAGCATAATGCATCATTTTTTTTTTTGTTACGTTATCTCCCAAGATGTTCTCTAGAGATTTATTTTTGACCGTCTCAGACCTGCCAACCTGTACGCATTTTGCGTAGCGGATACGCATTTTGACCTCAAAGTACGCTGGTACGATTTGTCACTCTAAACTATGCAAAAAAACCTGGTGACACCTCTGTCCACGTGCAGTATTCAAAACAAGCAACAGAAAAAGATGAAGAGTTCAACCAATCAGAGCGTTTTTTAGGTTTTGCTTTTAAATTTCCGTGCGTTTTATTTCTCTCCAAGCTGGCTCTGTTTGTGTGTCCGTGAGTCTGCACTAGGGGTCGACCGATGTGTTTTTCAAGGCCGATACGGATTATTACAGATCAAGTAGACGGATAACCGATATTTTGAACCGATATATATATCTGGTGTAAAAATGAAAATTAATGTAAAAATTAAGAATAACAAGGGCTCTGACAAAAACTGCCTTCCCTGGTGTTGGTTGAGTGTAGTACTCCCACAGTAAACTCTTTATTTTAAAGAGTTAAACTCTTTATTTTTTGGCAAACTCTTTATTTAATGGGTTTACCATTAAAATTAAAACATGGAAGAAATAGCGTATTGTGTGATTATTCTTTTAAACAAAAGTTGTAATAATTGTTGTAGTAGTAAGGGGTTAAAGCAAAAAAAAAATATTTTGACTGAAAATTTTTCCTTGGCCAAACCACATTCCTCAGCCATACCTGTCACACACCCAGTTTAAGAGCAGTGTTTTTCTTCTTGTAATCAAGAGCGCTTCCTCCTTAATTTAAAACAAATTAAGGATCACCTTCTGATCAATAATCAAAAATTCTGATCAAAAATTAGCCTTCCTAATATGAGGTGAAGTGATTTACAGGGGCATTTTCTTTTTACCTTTGCAATGGCATCATTTTCATCTGTAAAATTCAAAAATTTATGTTTATAAGCTTTTTAAAATTTATGTTTAAAACTATATAATAATAAGTAGAATAAGACAAATAAGTTACCAATCATGAAATTAGTATTAATAAATTAATTTGTACTACAGAGGTGGCACAGAAGAACACAAAAGTGGCTTGTAGGTACATTTTCAGACATTCAATGAGGCTCAGAGGTGGCATGAGTGCAATTAAATTCATAAATTAATGTGGAGATTAATGTTTTAAATACAATTTTGAATACAGAAATATTAAATTTAAATAACTGCAATTATACCTAAAAATGAAACTGAAACCGCCAGCAGGTGCGGCAAATCACGGAATCATGGCCATAATACTCGATCCTGCCTTTTACAGTGAAAGCCCATTGATCTGCACGATTGTCACAACACTCAAGAATGGACTCTGGGAGCGTATCAGTCTTAACACTACTTGTGTCTTTGCTTCCATTAGTTATCGTAGTCCCACAGAAAA